GAGGGTGTGTTTGTCTGTCTGTGTCTCTGTCTCTGACCCTCCACCTTTCCCATCTTGCTGTCCTAATCCAAGGCCTGGCCCCACCTGACCGCATGTCCACTCTGTGTGAGAGCAGGTCTCCCCATCCTGGCTCTTCCGCCAAGAGAGATGGGTTTGTCCTCTCAGCCGTCCATGATATATATTCCATTCTCTTCTCCAGCATCCTAACCCAACAGCGTCCATGCTTCTGTCTGTCTTCCTTATTCATTTTCCGGCTTTCACATGCACAGAAAGCGTCTGAAGGTGCTCGAGCTTGGATCCCACAACCCCTGGTCTTTAAACTGACATGCTGGGCCTTTAGCATTCTGGAGAGCTGCTGGGGAGCAGATTTTTTTTTTCAGTGCAAATGTGTTTGGATCCCTTTGTTGACGACTTCGGTCTTTTCTTTAGGTCTCGGGTGGGGAGGGTTTCTGTTTTCTGCACGTCGAGGTGTCTTTCCTGCTGAAGGCTGTAGTTGTTGACCACCTTGGGGAAGCATTGCACGTCCTCTCTTGCTTTCTGCACGTGAGACAGTGTGCGTCGTCGTGGGTGTCCTGGATGCAGCCGCAGGCAGTCAAGCCCTGAGATTGTTGGTTCGAACGTGCGTGCAGATACCTAGGAAGGCGACTTGGTGAACTCCTTTGTGAAACATGGCTGGGAAACGCCTCGCCCCGATTTCCGACTGTGTCAGGATTTGTAGACGCGGATGGTGGGGCAGCGGTTGGGTCTGAACTGATAGCTCTTCTGTTCGCAGCCCTCTGTCCAGTCCTCTGTGCTACCCGGGGCCCTTGTCCAGAGAAAGCTGTCGCCCAACACGATTCTGTCCAAAGCCATGTTGTTGTCCTGTGCCGTCCAGGTAGAGCTAAGTCATAGCTGACCCTCTGGTGGGTTTGCAGAGGCTGTAAATCAAACAAGAGACTGGCTTGATGGGCACCTGGTGTCACCAGAAAGTGCAGCTTTTGTTCTTCTCTGGTGGCTACGAAATCCCAGGGAGAGAGACTTGCCCCCATCGAGTCACGAGCACAGATCCTTGACCACTAGGTCCCTTAAACTCCGACCCTTCTCTGGTGGATGTGAAAACCCAGAGAGGAGCCCCTGTTGAGTCTCAGCAAGGCTCCTTGTCCACTAGGCCCCTAGAACTCCTGTCCACCGGGGAGGTGGTTATGACTTATCACCCAGTGTGGACAGGGCACACGACGAGATCACAGGCCTTCTCAGGGAGCCCTGCTGCAGGGTCTGCCGAGCGGGCAGGGAGGCGGTGGAAGGGGCCCCCTGGGTGCCGTGAGCAGGAGCCTGGAGCCGGGGGCTGAGACCTGCGGGCGTGAAATGATGGTGGGGTGAGGGGGCACCCCAAGGTGTGAAGTCACATGCCAACATGCCATAGCTAGTGAAGTCTGCTCTTATGCAACTTTGAAGAGCAAGGATGTCAGCCTGGCCCAAGCCGTGGTATTTTCAGTTGGTTATTCTGCACGGGGAACGTTGGACACTGAGGAAAGAAGGCTGAAGACTCACAGAGGGCGTTGACTCGTGGTGTTTGTGAGCTGTGATGAAGCCTGTGGGTTCCCCCGAGGTGACGACAGAGACAGTGTCCCCCCCCCACGTGTCGGACACGTTGTCAGGGAGGGTTTGACACAGAGACGGCAGCCAGGGGCTGAAGTGGATCAGAAGGTGAGGGTGGGGCAGCACCAGGTCCACACGTGTTGTTTGGGGGGGGGTGGTTTGCTGGGAGTCATCATCTGTTCACTGTGTTCACTGGTGTCTAATAACAACAGTGCGCTCCGACCTGGCCAGGTGGGGCGGGCAGGCCCCGAGCTGGGCCAGGAGGCTGCACTGAACCTGGGACAGCACTTGGGGCGAGCTGGACAGGTAGAGAGATTCAGGTCACGGGGCTGCATTTAGTCAGCCGTGCATGTGTGCTGAGCTCTGCAGGTGAGGCAGTCGCAGACCTGGGGGGCGGGGGAGGGGATGTGACAGGCTGGTGACATTGTTGTCAGCACAGTCAAGGTGTGTGGCCCCCTTGATGCAGACAGGTAGGTCGGGGGTTGCCGGGCCGGCGTGAGCAGACTTGAGCAGACTTGAGCTGAGCTGTTGGTGAGGCGGTGAATTGCTCTGGGTCGAGCTGACACTGGTGGTGTGGTTGTTGTGGACTCTGTAGTCGGAACTGACCCATAACTGACCGCCCAGCAGGTCCTCAGAGGCTGTAAATCACGCAGAGGCAGATTGCCCATCTGTCTCCCCCAGGGAATAGCTGGGGGCTTTGAACCCTGGGCCTTAGGGCTGGCAGCCCAGCTCCTTAACTCTGAGCCAGCAGAAATTCTACCCCCATCGTTGGAGGTAGAGTTCCCAGGGTCCCCGCAGGCAAGACAGCGTGCGACAACCTCCGCCAGGTTCCCGAGGCTGTGAGAGGCCTGTCTTTCTCCCACAGAGCAGCCGGGGGATTTGAACCTCCCACTGGTCCTCCAGCGCCCCTGACAGAGCTGCCCCTGGCGGCACAGTGAGTGCGTCCAGCTGCCGCAGAAAGGTGCAAGTCTGCAGTCTGCCCCGAGGCCCCGCGGGGAAGGCCTGGACACCTCCATCCAAAAGCCACCCACCTGTTAAACATGCCCAGCTCCCGTCTAGGAGACACGGGGGTCGGTGAGGGAGGACCCACGCGCTGGCAGCTGTGACTGTAGAAGTCTCAGGAACTGAGTCCCCGGGCAGGGGGAGCAGCCCCTGTGGGCACAAAGGCCTGTAGGCTGCAGAGGGTCCTCACTGATGGCCGGTGCTGGCCTGAAGTCGCTTCCGAAATATGTGCGTGTTTAAAAGCCTGGTGACCCCATACTGAAGGGCTTCAGCTGGTGACCGGTCTGAACCTGTCACCTGATCGATGACAGATGGGTCATCTGATGTGAAGATGAAAACCCACTGACTGGGTGGATTCAGCCTCGGAGACCCCGTGGGGCAGCTCTGCTCTGTGATACAAGGTTGCTGGGAGTCAGACACAAATGAATCCCCCCTGGTGACACTGTCTCTCACGCCTGGTCCACTCTGTGAGAGACCTGCCTTCCCTCCACACTGTGTGTGTGCACAGTGACACACAGAGGCTACTAGAGACATACTATGTATCTAGACTCTCAGGAGAGACTACTAGAGAGACACTATGTATCTAGACTCCCAGGAGCCCTGCTGGCACGGGGGACACACTAGCTGTCACCACAAGGTCAGGGGTTTGAACCCACCAGCTGCTCTGAGGGAGAAAGTTGAGGCCATCTGCTTCTTAAAATATTCACAGCCTCGGAGACCCCATGGGACAGCTCTGCTCTGTCCTGCTGGGTGGCTGGTAGTTGGAATGCACGTGCGGGAAGCGGGTGTGAGTGGTGGGCTGACCTTGTGTGCACACTTTCGGCCCTTTGCTAAGTTGGACTGTTGGCTGTTTTATTCCTGAGTTGTTGGGGTTAAGTGTTAATGCCATGGACACTAACCCTTTCCGGGACCCGCCTTCTGACAGGTTCCCCAATGACGGGGGGGCATCCTCGTTTGTTTTCCAAGCTGCATATTTCAGAGAGCAAAAGCGGATGAGTTTTTCCCCAGTGGTCAGGGTTTATAAAAATGTGTGTTGGATCTTAGTCTTTTGGTTCGCCTGAGGGAATGTTGCCCCAAGGTCAGTCTGTGGGTGTGGCGACAGCTGTGTCCCTCGCAGACCTTCCTTCTT